GTGGGGAGGAAGAGACCAACGAACACCTGATGGAATACGCAGCCGAGATGGTGGCCAGAGTTCAGGAGTTTGGTGTCGACTACAGAATGAAAGCGCCGATCGACATAACCGTCCGAAGACCCTCCGCCACAGACCGGTATCTGAAGAAAATCCGGAAATCGCGATTCTAAAGCCACTTACCTTAAAATTGATCCTGCAACAACAACAACCACCACGGCCGCCACCAAGACGTGCACTGTAACCTTCGTTGTGTTGACCTAGTCCTGCTACTGTAGTACAGCAGTTGTTGGAAAAGGGAGGGAGGCCGACATTGTGCCGCTCTCCTATACTATCATGAAAACTGCGCACAAATCGCCGGAGGGGCTCCTCAGAGGACAATTTCAGCCATCAGAACAATATACCAGGAGAGGAAAATGCGGGTGCACATGAGCGCAAATTATTTAAAAAAACGTACCTTGTTAGAGTCCGTAGGGTCCACCTCAATGGCGGTGACACGACACTGGCGACCACGGCTCGATGATGATTTCACGTTTATGAAGGTTATGTAAGCTAACTGCAAATAAGATTGAAAAGGGGGTTGTCATGCGTAAATGCAACAGATTATCAAATAGGGTTGAGTCGAATATTGCACATTTGATATAGAATCTTAGAGCATTACAAGAACAATCTTCATCTCGGGTATTATGCACTTCTAGGGCTCCTTTCTTCAACGAAACGTTTGGATGGAAATTCACGCTACCTTATATTCAGTCAACTCGTTATGTCAATGACAGCCATAAACCAAAAAGTGTGCGTTATTGTGGGAGAGAATCAAAAAAACGGACCACACACAACTTGGAGCGTAGTTTTTCAGTCCACTTACATCAAGTGAACTCGGCGTTGAATACACACGCTCTAACTTAAAAAAATCGATTTGTAAAACTATGCATTTAATGTCCCAAAAAGCAACAAAAATACACTAAAGTTAACATTTTCCTAACACACCAGTAATTTTCCGGTATATGCAGGGTATGAACGGCTGACGACGAA